TCTAAGAGCTTATGCTTGGCCTTCAGTATATTTTCTTAAGTGTATGGTCAGACTAAGTTGTATCTACATATACAGTCTCATCATCACCAGCCTGGGAATTTTTAGCATATGAGCTCATCACCATCCAAGTTAACAAGATTTAACTGAAATTTTGCATTCACGGTGGAGCTTGCATCAAGTCATTAAATTAAACTCCCATCTAGATTCTCAATTGACAAGTTACAGGAACACTCCAGGAATATGCTTCGTGATTTCCTTTGGGTGCTCTTTCAGAATAATTAACTGAGATTAAGGAAGTTGCCATGTGAACTGAACAGCAAAATATATTCACAACTTTACTTGGCGAACGTCTTGCTTGATTCTTCTATGTTGAGCACAGCAGCGAAGGTAAAAAATGAAGGTCAATATTACAGACCATGATTCTAGAAAGCCCGGTCTCGGGCTCCCTTTCTTATTAGCTGGACATCTATTTCTCAGTACTTTCTGTTCAGATATACTTGTCATGTGCCCATGTCATGCATTCACGTTTAGTCTCTGGTTGTTCCTTTCAAGTGGGTCTGCTGTGAGGGCTGCCTGGTCATCTTGCTGGGTTTAGATCGTCTTGTTCCATTCGTACTTCTCCTCCTTTAGTGCATTGTTTCTCGTCCTCAGCTCATTCCTAAAACTTCCAACTGAAAAAATGGAAAGCACCAAAGGTTAATTTCCACATACTTCAACTGTCTATCTCCCCTTGCTTGGTCTTCCTTCCTGAGTCAACGAATGAACTGTGCGCCATTTATTCAGACTCTCCAGATGTGTGTTGCTCCTGTTTCTGCTTGCCTTGGAAATGCCATTTTCTCCCCTCTGACAGTTCTCTGTCCTCTCCATTGCTTCATTGAATTTCCCCTGTGCGTGTCTTATATTAGAAAGCATACTGAATCATCTCTCTTCTTAAGAACAAAATAGAAACACCCTCTCTATTTATCGCCTTGGTCTGCTTTGCGGCAAAATTCTTAAAACAGACATTTATATTTGCTTGCTGGTTCTCCCTCATATCCAGGCCTCCAAAAGTTGGCATGTATAGTCATTCAATTCTGGGACCCCTTCTCTCCTCTGTTTAGACTCAATCCCTGCATACTCCCTCCTAATCCCATGACTTTAAATAACATCTCTTGAGCTCCGTCACCACTAATGGCCAACTAGCTAATTAGGAACAGTAAGCACACTGAGGAAAATTTAGGACGATGGACTACATATATTAAAAACATCTTAATAATATCAATACTTATTAACATAGTGAGCAATTACTGTCCACTGATCTAGAAGGAATGGCTGAGCAGATAAGCCATGCTTCCAGTGACCACACAAGGGTGAGAAGAAAAGAGTCCAAGCTCAGAGCCTGCCGTGGATGGGGCTGTAGTACACCACGCCCACTTTCGGATGCAGCTCTGAAGGGCTGTAACCTAGGAGTAAGGTGAACATGAAGCCAGCTGGTCCTCAGAAGGTCTTGCAGCCTAATTGGCTATTGAAATGGCCCCCAAACTGGGCCTTGAGTGAAGGCAGTTTTAGATGAGTACTACTCACACATGCCTTGCAAAACCCAGTGAACATCCTCTCTAGGAGAAGTAAACATCATCCATGGACTCAAATTTTAGATAAATGGATGGATGGGTGGATGGATGAATGGATCGATGGATAAATAGATGGGTGGATAGATGGATAGATGATAGCTAGCTAGCTAGCTAGCTAGCTAGATTTTGGTTTCAAATAAGTACCTGACACACAGTCCAAGCTAAACTTGGCACTCACAGAGACATGAGTGGGACCCAGTAGAAACCCAGTCCATGTTTTGGAATCTGGTTATGCCAGGTTGCTTCTCTTTCTCCTGAGAGTCCCATGGTTATTGTAGATATTAAATTGTGAGACACAGACTGTCAAACACTGTTTTAATTTGAGGTCTCCCAGAAGCGGAACCTAATGCAGGGAGATGAGCCCAGGAGTTTATTTGGGAAGTAAGACAAAGCTGGTTGGGAAGTAGGGAAAGGAAGGCAGCCCACAGAGAGTGCTCTATTGAGCCAGCAGCCCCGGAGGGAAAGCTCTAGGGAGCAGCACAAAACACATACCTCAGGATAACCACCCTAAGGGGTGACGGAACTGGGAGCAGTAGGTAGTGTCCCGGCCCCTGAGACTCCGGTTGTGGCTGCTCCCTGCTGTGGGGGACTGGGGATGGGGGTGGGGTGGTATAATTGCCACAGCACTTCTGAACTATTACTGGCATAGACCAAGCAAGATAAGCATGACCTCTTTCATGTGAATGGAGGACATTTCCAAGTAAGACTATCTCAAGCAACAGTATAAAAGGATAGTTTTCTTTTTAAACGTCATTGTCCCCCTTGATGTCTGTCCTAACTTAATAAAATATTTTCAGTTTTAGGCTGTGTTGTGTGGATGACCCTCTGTGAGGAACTGTCAGATAAGATTGCACTTCATAAGCATAAAAGAATTTTGAAGGACCCATTGTTAGTTAGATTTGTTCTACTTTTATTTCAAAGCCATTTAGCTGTCTTATATAACTCAATGTTGATTTCATATATAAATATCAGTAATTATACCTTTTCCCTCAGACAACTTGGGTAACTTTGAAATCAAAGCCAGTTCTTATCCTTCTTATTTTTATGATCAGTTTTTCAAAATCTAAATTGTCTTTGCTACCAAATATGTATTTATTTGAGATAGAATATACTTAAAAAATGTTTGACTTGCACAGGTTTTTGTTTTTNATGGAGACGTGTTGATGTTTTTGACAAGAATTTCTATCCTCAAATTCTTTATCAGCCATGTTAACATAAATGAACCAATGAGTGTTTCATTGTTTGTGATTGAGAAGTTGATTTTAGACTATTCATTAAAATATGTAAACTAGTTCATGCATATCAAGCATAGCCCATATATTATTTGTTTCTAATAAGTCCAAGAATACTGTTTAATTGAATGTGAATCTTAAATGCCTGATGAAAATACGTCTTGAAGTAACTACTCTCTCATACAGCATGCACTCACTCCCCGTGACACTTCCTATTCATTTCCAGCCATTTCAGCTTGTCCTTCCGGCGGAAGTGAGACCTGACAGCAGCTCTGTGAAAAGATCTCAGACAACCGGGCATTTGCTCATCTGCATGCCCAAGGTAGGTGATGCCACTGGGATCAGTTTCAAGTCTGGACACGTTGGTTCCTGAAGGTACTTGACCTGACAGTGCTAATTATGATTTCCAATCATGGTTCTTTTGGTGGAGAAAGCCAGAAAATCTACTCACACGAGCTCGGGTGGGAGAACAGAGACCTGTGAGAACAGCGAGCTGAGACCAGGATGTGGTTGGGGCCTGTGGTGACTCGTCCTACCAGGGGTCCTTGTCTCCGCAGCCGCCTCCTCCCTCTGCAGACCAGAGTGTGCTGGGATTTGAGTTTCGTAAGTCATATGGTTCTTCCAAGTGGGGCCGGTGCCTTTGTACATACCTATTACACGGTGATCGGTCCTTTCCTTACCAATAACTGTGAAAGAGATGTAGGCGGCCTTGGATAGCTAAGAATGTGTTTGAATTCCAAATATTGAGCTTACTAGTTTTGTGACTTTGGGCAAATTACGAACCTGTCTAGACCTTTGTGTCCTAAGATAGCTCCTAAGGGAGACAATACACATAAAATTCATAGCATAGTGAGCACTCAATAAATATTGCTAGTATTATTTCTCATAGTATTTTTATGATATGGACAAGATACCATTTTAACGAAAACTCTTTTTTGTCTATCTTTTGAGGGCTGGGTGGTATAGATTACTTTTGATATGAATCAGAGAAAGAGATGCAGAGAGATCTCTCCGATCACCATGGAATAAACGTTCCTCTGGTTTGATTAAGCCAGTTTAGCTGAATAGTCCAACAGGCCTTGATTAGCTTAACCCTGAACAATTGACCCAATCTCTGGCCAAAGAAACAGTAGTACTTTGTTTAGTTTCTATTATTTGGTGTTTGGTTACTATTATGTCATGCCACGAGCTAGGGGTGTGGTCACCTTTGCCCAAGCCACCCCGGTTCCAAAGGGGAAGACTAGATAAGCCAATCAAAATGCAGTTCTGCTTGTGAGGAAGAAGAGGAGACTGGG